TCCCAGGCTGCCCGTGTGAAAATTACCGAGCCTTCACATGGCCACAACGAGTCCCCTACACGGCTAGTGTAACTTGCCCGTGCAATTTGGTGCCACACGGCCAGGTCACACGACGTGTGGGATTTTAGGCGTGCCCGTGTGGCTTTCTCAGCTTCTCGCCAAACGTCCAACCTTCGTCCAATCCACCCCGAACTCGTTCCCAAGCCTTCATTCACGTGCTAGGACCTGAAATATCACAAACAAGAACAAACTAGCGTGAAATCGGCCTAAAACGCGAGAATCGACATTTCAAACGGCTCAAGAATAGGGGTAAAAACATGTGCAATCAATGGTCTATCAAGCATTCTCTTGCCAGCTGAGAGTTCCCTTTTACGCACCCCATTTCCCACGGGGAATTTCAATCTTTGGTGACAAGTGGACGGAATCGCCTCGAAGGCGTATAGGAAACCCCATCCCAGTATCGCGTTGTAGACTGAGGATGACAATCTGCCACGTGAAATTCCATTGGCTTGGTTTTCGTGATGTTCACTTCTCCCACAGTTACCCGCAACGTAATTACGCCTAGTACCTTGATCTTGGATCCCGAAAACCTACCAGTTGAGTTGTGGATGGTTTGAGGTCCTACAAGACTTTCTTCATGGTCTTCAAGTGGAGAAGAATAGAATGTCAGCAGAGCTTCCGTTGTCGATTAGCGTTTTTGTGACTTTGTACTTCCCTGTGCGGAAAGATATGACAAGCGGGTCTTTCGCCGCCTCCGGGTTTGCCAACTCGAACGCGTTGAAAACTACTTCAGCTGAGGGAGATGACGCCACCACCAAACATTGCGTGTATTCTTCAGTCATTCTCGATCTCTTTTTCCTTCCTCCTGAGATGGTGATTATCTCAAGGTCATCCTCATCGAGTCGTGGTTGCCTTCTTGGTGGTGCAGCGTTTGGTTGGAAGTGTAGTCTCTCTCCTCCTAGTTCGGGAGCGTGACCTGGAGCGGTTCCTCCTTGGTGACCTGGATTGATTCCCCCTCGGTGTCCTAGAGCAGTATCTCCTCGGCGACCTACTTCGCCTCCTTCTAGGAGATGATGACTCCCTCTTTCTTGTTTCTTGGCTTCGAGCCGATTAAGCAGATCCCCTAGGGCGAGGTTTGCGAGACTCATTTGAAAAGCACGGCAGTCTGTAGTGTTATGCGTTGCCTTCTGGTGCCAAACACACCACCTCCTAAAAACTAGTGCCTCGGTGCGCCTTTGGTCCTCTTAGCGAGCCATGTCATTCCGCATTCGGTTAGAGTGGCCTTCTTCCTTTTCTCTCCATTGCATAGACGTCTCCCTTATTCTCCGTTCCCCATGCCCTCATCTTATAGTTATGACGCTCCGCCGATCGCCCCTTTCGGGGCAGGGTTTGGTTCCCCTTTCTCGCTTCCCTCCCATTTCCTTTTCCTTCCCTGTTGCTCGTCGCCATTACTCGCTCAGAAGGGATTAGAGCCTCCTCCAAAGTTATCGCGCGCCGCACTAGATTGTCTATATATGGCCATGTGTTCAAACTGTGTTCCTTCTTTATCAATGCTCTCTGGAGCTCCTTGCTACTCGTTGACATCCTTAGATTGCCCGCTGCTACGTTGGGCGTAATGCCCTGAATCTGGCACGAGATGGTGTTCCACCTGTCGTAGAAATTCGTAAGTGTCTCTCCTCCCCCTGCGTATAATGAATGAGTGCGGAGAATGTCAACCTCCGGCGGATTTGGGACACGAACTTCGACGAGAACAACGTGGCGAACTGCTCGAAGTTATCGATGATTCCCTCTGGTAGCGACTTGTACCAGGCTCAGCATCGCCCCCGAAGGTTATCGGGAAGGCCTTGCATAGGTCCGCATCTATGGCATTAATCAATTGCATCTTTAGGGTAAACACGCACACGCTTAGGTGATCTCCAGGATTCGTGCTCCCGTTGTAGGTTGGGAGGCCTAGTGAGGAAAAGTTGGAGGGGAGGGGATTCCGAAATAGCTTTTTTGCCAATGGATTGTGTAGGATGCTCGATCCCTTTCCTCTTCTGCTTGCTTTTCCAAAGCTTGACTGTAGATGCTCTTCTAGAAAGCTTAGGTCGGCCTCCAACCTTTCGTCTTCGATCTCTTCCTCCTCCGGCTCGTCGATCAGGACCATCTTCTTTTTTCCCTGGTCCTTTCGCCCGCCTAATGTTTTCGGGAGATTGTCCGATTCCTTCATTCCTTCCTTTATCAGGGAGAGGATATGATTATGTTACTATGCATCTCCGATATTTGCTTTCCGTGGTCTTTAACTTGATCTTCTAGCTCCACAGCGTCTTCAACCTCCGGGGATAATCCGCGAAGTGTCTGGGGCTCCATGACCTCCTTCGTGGGAGTGGTGGAGTCTCCTGCCTTCGAGAGGAATATTGTATTCTCTTCAAACTCGACCCCACGATGGGCGCCAAATTGTTTAAGCCTGGAAAGTACCAGGCGGGATGGAGGCCGTTCTTGTTGAGATTACACCTTCCCTCTGACACAAGCGAGCTCCTGTTCCTGCAGAAGGGTGTTCTCATATGCCATTTGATCTTCTTCTCAATCAAGACATACTAAAGTAACCAAGCATTTGACTGGTACGTGAAAAGTTGCAGCAACTACTTCATTGACTATAGCTTGAATGTGGTTGAATACCATACAAATCAATCCTACACTCTTGTTTGTAACCTGTTGACGAGCTGAGTTTCTTTCAACAATGAATGTATCCTGACTGAACACTTCATATTACCAAAACCATAGCGATTCAGCCATCAGAAGATTGCCTCGGTTACACAGGAACTGCAACTTTTCAGACCCAAACACAGTGCAAAGAACAAACAGGCCACCACAGCATTAACAAACCAATCTCTATAACAATCTACAGACAACCCCCACAGGATAAAGTACTGATCTTTGGCTACTAACCAGGCGCAGTAAGGGTCTGGAATATCAAGCAGTGAGATTGCCCCCACTCTGTTGCCACAAGTTGATGATATCAGTAGCCTGATTGAGAAGTATAATCATCTTCTTCTGGGAAATCCAGGGCTTGCTTTCCAGAGTAGTCTTGAGCTCTTCCCAAGCATCTTTTCTAGGCCAGAAGAAGTAAGGGCTCAAGGGCACCGTGCCATGTCCAGGAATTACTTGATCCAGCCCCAACCCAATGTTCTTCTCCATCCATATGAACTTAAGCACCAGCCGAGGCTTCGCCATTTGGTTCACCACCACCTCATTTATCTGCCAAACAGGAACCCAAGAAAATGCCCCCAAAAAAATACCAACCAGTAATCAGACACAAAATTTCAAGGAGACAGAAAGAAAAACTTGCTGAAAAAAAAAAGACTCAGTCGCTCACTTTGTCAAACGATTGCGGAATTTCAACTTCCTTCTCGTCCTCCGATGGCGGAGCTGCCACCGTTTCCGGCGCAGCGAATGCGGAGAAGCGCTTTCGATCGAGAGCGGAGGACAACTGTCGTTTTGGACAAGGTTTCGGGAAGGCGAGAGCCGTGGATTTGAATGTGGTGGTTGTGGGAGTCTGGTGGAGGAGGGAACAGGAGAAGGGGGAAGCGCCATTGGCGCCGGATTGAATTGCAGCGGGCAACATTTTCCAGAGCGAAGGTTTTCGTTCCAGGGACCAATTCTGTGATTGAAAGGAAGGGAAATGAAGAGTGCGGTGAGTTTTCGGATAAGGGAAGCTTTCGGCGCAGTCGCGTTTTCAGAGGTGCGGTGAGTTTGGGCTTTGGGTCTACTACTTCATTGGGCCAATAGGCCTACTAAATCTCGACGGGTCAATAGGCCTACCAAGTCCCTACAAGTACAACATCCAAAGTTCCACATATTACACAACACAATATCAACCCGACAACCCCTCAGCCATACAAGAACAAACAAACAACATGATAACACTACTAAAAAAAATATCGAGCTAATTAAATTGACTCGAGAAATCACTCTAAACTTTATTCCGTATAATGAAAAAAATCAGTTGTTGGCACTAATGGAAAAGAGGATTATCAAAGTATTTGAACATAAATACAACTGAAGTTAACGAATCATGACGTTCGAGCTTCATTCGACACTCACCTTGTTAAGTAATCAATTCAATGCAAAGCATGCAAGTAGCTCAACCAACTATTAGTGGCGGAGCCACATTGAACTCACCTATTATCAAGATTCATATTCTTGTGCTTAAAATATTTATGCTTCCCTACTCAGAGTTCCGGCTCTGCTATTACTGGCTATAGATCGAAAGAATAAGATGTTGGATATCCTCAGCCGGCACAAGTCCGTGCAAAACTCGTACACTCAAACCTGACAAATAGAGGTCATCTTGGCGGTCAACAACATCAAAATTGATCTCGAAGAAGCTCGACAAAGGAGTGTGCACAAAGCAATAGGGACATGCGGACCGACAAACACACTGGAATATATGTCAAGGGTATGAAGTCAGGGAGATGACCCATAGTAGTAAAATCATCGTATGAAAACAGTAAAATAATAACGTGAAATTTTATTTTATCACAGTGATAAAACCGTGATATGACATAAGGATGCAAAAATTACTAGCCCCCACCCATTGTCCTTATATTAGATTGTGAACTGATAAACTGAAATATTGATTTTGTAAGAATTTGCAGATTTCAATTTTGAACTAGATCTACTCCTCATTAAATTTTAAATGCAATCTAAAAAAAGGGTCATTATTAATAAGTAATTTCCCTCTTTAGAACGCTAATAAATGGTTAAACATTTAATAATAGATCTCCCTGCCCATTCATTGCATATTGAGTTATTGACTAAAAAACTTTTGATAGAACTACCATATCTTGAGTACCTTTTTAATTAAGGAAGCTTATCAGCATCATTAACTTCCCAAGATAAATCATATCATGTCAGAAAAAAATAACTACCCAAGATATAAATGTACACATACACTGAAGAACAATATACAGCTTTGAATCCTTGTGAGAAAACAAGTGTCTTTGGGGTAAAAACCTGTAATGGGGAAAGAAAGCAGCAGCAGCAGAGTTACCTCGACAGCAGCGATTCTGAGCACCATCGTCATCATCTCGAATCTACTGCTCTCTGCCACAACCGCAGCGGCGTACTCCTTCTGGCCGTACCACCATGTACACGTCACCAACGAGCTCACCGGCGGGAAGGTGTTGCTTGTCCACTGCAAGTCCGGCACACGCGATTTGGGAGTCCAGAACATCACCCCGACCAACGAGTTCACGTGGCGGTTCCGGCCGGGGTTTCTTTTTGTGTCGACTCTGTTCTGGTGCTACGTAGCCCCCGACGGCGGCCGCCACATCCACTTCAATGCGTGGACGGATCATGTGGCAGAAAAGTATGAGTATGGTTACAGCATCTCCTGGATTGCTAAAGACGATGGACTTTATGTAAGAATTCCAAAGAAAGGTGATCAATATTGGCAAATGTGGGATCAGGGGAGGATAATGGAAAATGACAAGAACTCTTGATTTGTTGATTAGTCATTGAGGATTGTTGAATGTCATTTGGATTTATCGAATGATTATATCTAGACTGTCGATTTTCTAAAATTTGGTTGGAGCATTATCGATGAGAGTTTTTTATTATCAATGTTGGAATTTGTTTGAGGTATTTAAGCGAAAACCAACTCATAAGTTTGAAGTATGTACAAACTAATCGTTTCATATAGGTAAAACAAAAAAAAAATTGAATGTCGAGAATTAGTTGGTTCCAGTGATTACACATTTGATCTCGTGTGGTTCGAAACTTGCAGAGACTCATCTTACCATGTGCGTAAATTAACCGTTAAATATAAGGTTCGTAGAGACCCCATGTGCTTGAAGCTGAACATGGGCATGACCCTCACCATGTGCTTAAACTAACCGTTACTACAAGGTTCGTGGAGATTCGAACACGTGATCTCTAGCTAGGTTTAAGGCTCCGTTATAAGTAAAGGACTAACTGATGATTCCGATTAGTCGAGTTGTTAGAAGTTATACATGGTCAAGTTTATCTTCCAACATTATCACTAGGCCAATCCTTTTAATTATTTTTAAAAAAAAATTAGGGCTAATACCACTACAACACCCGAACTATCCGAAAAATGCCACTTGTGTCCTACTGTTTTCAATATTCCATCTGTGTCCTGAACTATTTTTCCGTTAGTGTTGACCAGCATTGACCGTTAGTATTTAACAGAAATCCTAGTCAGCGTTGATGTGGCATCTGACGTGGAATTTCAAATCAAAATTTTATTTATTTTTCTATCCAAAATTACTAAAATAAGAAGAAATAAATTTCAAAAATAAAAACAAAAACTTAAAGCAATTCTCTTTTTCCTCTCTGCAACTTCTCCGCCGCTTCTGAGCAGAGCCAGAGCCAGCTCCGCCGCTTCTCTTCCTCCTCCGACCACCGCGTTGCCATGGCCCCCACCGCTCTCCTCTCCTACCTCCTCGTCTTCTCCGCCATCTCCGCCGCTTGCTTCGCCTCCGACCCCGACATGCTCCAAGACGTCTGCGTCGCCGACACCTCCTCCGGTAATTCATCTCCCTCATTCACCAAATCTGAATCTACCAAAACATCGAACCAAAACGAAGTAGTCAAACAACCAAATAATCTGCCCTAGCGATTCTGAATCCACCAAATACGAACAAAAACGAAGTTCCTACAAGCAAGAAGCAACAGAAGCAAACCAAGAGAAAGAAAAACAAATTCCTCTTCCTCGATGAAACCCCAACTTCCTCTCCCCGGATGGCTTGTCGCCGCTCTCCCGCTCCAAAACCTAAATCTGAACCAAATCTCCTCGCAGGCTCCCAACTTCTTCCTCTTCTCTCACCCTCAACTCCATCAAAATTACAGATCGGAGAGATCCGATTCCAGGGAGGAGAATTAGGGGAGCCAACTGGTTATTCGAGTGCTGGTTGGCGACGACGTGTGAGAAATCCACAGCCGGTGAGCATAAAAAGCCAGGCTGTGGCCGCCAAGATTTGGGGATTTCGGGACCATGGCAAAGGCGAAGTTGGTGAGAATCTCTCCAGCTCCGTCGAGCCTGAGCAGCTGCTGCTGGTTGCTGGTTCGATTGCTGAAGCCATGGAAGATGAATCTGTCTGATTGTTGGGTGGAGATGGTGAAGGCAAGTGTGGATAATAGAATAAGGAGAGGGATGAGAGAAAAGAAACTTTGGGGAACAGATCTGTAATCACAAACGAAGATTTGTTAGGTGGAAGGGATTTCTCGATCTGGGAAATTTTTTTTTATGGGAAAATTTTGGGGAACAGATGCAATGATTTTTTTTATTTTAACTCAATTTTTATTTAATTTGAATTAAAAAAATCTGAGGTCAGTGACGTGGCATCTATGTGGCAGTCGCATTTTTTGCCACGTCAACAAAAGTCAACTTGGCGTTGACCACCGTTTGGTCAACCGTTATCTTTAACGGTCAACGAAATTGATAGGATACAGATGGCACAAAGTATCATAGTTGAGGACATGAATGGAATATTGAATAAAATAGGATACAAGTGGCATTTTGTCGATAGTTCGGGTGTTGTAGTGGTATTTTCCCAAAAAATTATTTCTCATAAAATAAATTTTCTTCCTTAAGAATTTGATGCGATAAGTTGAAAAATCCAAACAAATCCTAGATTATGACAGAAAATTTTACCAAGGAATAGAATATACAAACAATCTACACAATATATAATAGTGCAAAGGGAAAACTGCTAGCCCCATTTCAAATTTGCAGGCTCCAGAGCGATTTGTGGAAGGGTATTTTGGGAAGGAGTGGTAAAATATTTTTCCTGCGTGTCTGCTTGGCGGCCTGGCCTGCCACCAGCCCTGCGTTGCGCGCACAAAGAAAGGAAAATTGGCATTTCAGCAAGCCCGCTAAAAAATAAAACGTAAACAAAATGTTGGGCCTTTCTTCCGGCCCTTTTGGCCTTTTATTCCTACAATTATCAAAACTGCCATGGGATTTTTGTTTTTTCAATTAGACATTTGTTCTCTCTAATCCCCCACCCCCAAGGCCCCAACGATCAAACCGCCCACCGGCAAAACATTAGCATGTAGCTCCTTCATTATCTGGTGTGTGTCATAGTTGCATATTGTAAAATGGATCCATAAATAAAATATCTATGAAAGTAAATAAGTGATTAGCAATTCATCTAATCATGTCATATTATTACAGTGGGCAACGAACGATGATTTATAAATTATTAGAGATGACAATTATCCACTCATGAGGAATATTACCCACATCCAAGTAGACACATTGATTACGGTGTAGGATATGGGTGAAGTGTATATGGATTTGGATTATGTAGATGGGTTTGGGCAGGGTATGTATATTGTTTCCATAATCTAAATAGGTATGGGTTGGGTATGGATACTCATTTATTTCAGGTTGTTTTAACCACACATAAAAAATTGGACCTATTTGTACAACTTAACCGGTTTTGGTATCAAAATGTAATACAAAAATTTTAGGTACTAAAATATAAATTTTATCAATATTTTGAGGACTTATATGCAAAAATAAAATAAAATTTAGATACTAAATCTAAAGATCTATTGATTTTAGGTATCAAAATGTAATTTACATATGAATATGGGTACAAACTCAAATCAACCCAAGTAAATGTGTATGGATATAAACCCATCAAACTCTACCCATTTACCATCTATTTGGATGTCATATTCAACTCAATCACTCGATTGAGTTGGATAGTAAAATACTCATGGGTATGAGCAAAATTTTCATCCCTAAAAATCACAACTCAAAAATTATTTGGTCAAATATTGCATATTAAACTGTATTATTGAATATGTAGAAGCGATGGACAATTGTAAAATTAGTATTAATTTTCATAACTAGAAGCAATTATATCTTTGTGCACACTATAAGCGAGTGGTTCTTTGAATGTTTTAGCCCGGTCAACCACTAGCCTTACACCTCTTGCTAATATGACATGATTGAATTCAACAATGATGAGACGAGATTGATATTGAAATGCTGGTTCAAAATCTTTTTTATGTATTTATGAATTTGTACGACAAAGGCATGGATAATATGAGTAAAGATGAACCTGATTGTGCATTTTGATTCTTTAAATAAATTAAATAGTTTAGATCATGAAGTAACTTTACACTCACTCGATTGGTTGAATGATTTTATTTAATCATGTTTAAATGGGTTGACAGTTTTGTTGAGGGTTGATTGATCGGGCAGCGAATTAGCAATTGCACGACCTGGTTTCTTTGTTTTCTGGTTGGGTCATATTTTGGCTTATCGGGCATAGCAAGAAGTATACTTATTATTTGTGGGACACTTAATGAGTGTGTGAAGAGGAGACTCCTTAATTCTTAACATTTTACTTTATTTATATTATGTTTTTCATGGATTGGGAGTTACAAACTTGGGCTTTTTTCACCTTTTTTTTCTTCTTCATGATACGCTTTTTTCAAAAAGTAACAACTACGTGCTTCTCTCCTATGCTGATTGAAACATATGGCCTTTTAACAATCACCAAGCTCTCTGAAGAAAGAATACACATAACAGAGATGGCTTGGAGATGTGAATGGTTTTCTTACTGAAAAAAATCATTATAAAAGGAAGGGTAGACTTTTTAAACAATAAAGGGGAATGAGAGTCCAAAACTCATAGATTAAAAAAAATGATATTGAATTTTAGTTATTTTATATTTAAATTTCATATCATCTTATAATTTTATGACCGAAACCAATAAATTTTACAGTGAAAATATGAATAAAAATGTTATGGTATTTTTTCAGAGAAAATAAGATAATCGTAACACACACACTTTTATGAAAGTGTAACATATATATTTTCATTTAATTAAATTTCCATCTACCATCTGATAACTAAATAAATTTTATTTCAATACTTTTATTGCATTTTTTTAATTATGCTAAAATAATGAATTATTATAATATAATAACAAAGCTCTCTCCACGCTTTCGATATCAAATTCTTCTAAAATAAACGTTCCTACGCTCTTACTCCCGCCCCCGCTCACGCTCTGCAAATTGGTTACCTAAGTATTATCCACTCCCGTTTGTGAACTGCAACTCCTTTTTTCTGCTGGTAAGCATCATGATGGGTGGAGAGTTTCCCGGTTGAAGCACGGTTCCAACACTGTAGTCATTGAGGGTGTCTTCAAGAGGAGTTGCATAACCCATCTACATCACTACTCTTTGGACCTCCGCCAAACCGCTATTGAGATAACAGTTTTAGTGTTGGGAACTGTAAGATTCACAAGTTGGTTTTTTTGACAACTCATATATTTAAGAATTGTCGGTTAGAAAACGATACTGGTAGTGGGTAGCCGGGTAGGGTTGATAGTGAGAATTATTTTGGAGACATTTCTTTCTCATCTTTATCGACTAGGTGGGATTTCGTGCTGAATATTGATACTAGCATTCTCAAAAGAATTCAGTTGATTTCGAGTAGATTAGTGACTATTTCGAGACT